CCTGTTAATTTCCTCGTAATGATCAAAATGATATCACGTAAAAAATCAAAGTTCTCAACTAAAAATGACAAAAGATGAGCATTTGTGCTTAAATCCATATTTTGTTTTTGGACTGCTTTATTGGTTTCATTAACCCTTTGCAAAACGTCTATCCAAAAAGTTCAAATTATTCCGTTTCCAATAAATCAAGTTTTTCTGATGGAGAAGCTGCTTTAACTCTAACAACATTTTTCTCATTTGTATCCGTTGTATCCGCCGACGATTTTTTTTAAATTATGGGCGGTACGCGGTACCGCCCCAAAAATATTTACCGCCCGGTGCTATAGTCCCCAAAAAACCCCTGTTAAACCGGCACTGATTTTATCTTCAAGCGTTCTAAAATGTTACTTTTATTATTGTCAACACTTACTACCAAAGTTTTTGATTATCTAAGCTGTAAAATATTTTAGATCAATGTGGTAAAGTTTTTTACATTCTAGTCTGTAAAAACCCCGTTAGAACCAATAAAAAAATTCGAAATGCTGATAGTTCTACGGCTATGTAACCTTACTTTTAATTAATAATTATTGTTATTGTAATAAAAAATAAATAATTTAAAAATATCTTAAACAAAAATATTCTTAAAACTTCTAAATATTCACTTGCTGTTAATCTTTTTGTGCTGAGCTCAAAGTTTGAAAGCCGACAAGTTAGCGGAGGCCTACAATTTAGCGAAGCACAAAAAGACAGGTCTCAGCCGAATGGCATGCCACATTTTATCTTCAAGGCACAGTTTTACTTAACAATACGTTAACGTACTTAAAATAATTATTAATGTAGTTATAACTAGTTATATATAAATACATTTTTTGTTAAATATAGCAAAAATATTTTATAAACCTTTAAAAAGTAAGACAATGTAATACTCTATACTAAAAATTGGATAACACAAATCGATGACGTAGTTACACATAAAAATAATGTAATTAATTGCTTATAAAATAAACCATTAAACGTAAAAAAGAAATATTCTTAAAATTTAACCTTAAAATTTTAAACTAAAAAATTACATGACGAAGTGTGTTATTTGGCAAGGGGACTTGCATCAAGATTTTTGTGGTTGTTGAATAAAATATTGTGTGCGACTATTGGTCAAAAGATCGCATGTTACCTTACTTGCTACGCTCGTGCGGCAAACTCCACGCTCGAGGAATCTTCTCTTTCTCCCACTAGTCGCACAATATAGTATTTATTATACATTATTACATTATTATACATTGGGCCAAAAAAATATTTTTTTTCTACGACCACTATGTAAAAGTCACTTTTCATGATGGCACCGTTGCTTAGAAAATGAATCTTTTCATTGGCAAGGTAAACACGAATGTAAAGTGACATTTCTGTGTGAAAAGTGACAGGTCTGTGTGAAAAGAAATTGACAGCATCGTTTGACATTCAGCTGTCAAAGAAGTTTTTAGGTTATTTTGTTTTGTATTTAAAATTTAAAAAAATGAAATGGTCGTAGAAAAAACATTGTGTTATACTTGTGAGAAAAGCTTTCTTCAAGCTCGTGTTAATGCACACCCGGCCTAAGGGCCTCGTGGGCAACTTAAAAACTCGCATGAAAAAGTCGCTTTTCAACACTTGTAAAACAAATAACTATTTCCAACTAAAATAGTTCTCCAGCTCACTGTGTGGAGGTCACTTTAGCTTATCGTTATTTTATTTATTGTTTTAGATTTTATATTATATTGTCTGGTCATTTTAGGATTACATCATTTTAACTGATCGTTTGTAATGCTTGTCATTATTTTAGCTTCTCTTTGTACTTCTAAACGAGGGGTAAACCACTTACGCTTACGAATTAACGGCTTAGGATAACAATAACAAGGGTAGTCATGCGCAACGCGTGGCTAAGCACTGATTAAGCAAGTTTTCCTTATTGATAACGACTGATAAGAAAAAAAAATCACAACACAACGTCCACTAACATTGAACGTTGGTATCTAAGATTTTAAAGTGGTTTACCCCTCGCTTCTAAAACCAAAACTGCTATTAAGCCTTATTCAGAACCTCGTAATTAGTGGAATAAATTAGTGGTTTCAATTAACGTAATATATATATATATATATATATATATATATATATATATATTATACACAGTGTTGTTCACAACCAAAAAATTAGTGGTAGTACTTTTCAATTAGTGGAAAAAGTTTCCAAACTTCGAACTTTTACCACTAATTATAATTGGAAAGCGGTTTTCCGCATACATGTGAGCGGATGTATTATGTCAAAAGCAGTAGCGTAACTAGGGGGGGGCGGTCCGCCCCGGGCGGCACTTCTTGGGGCGGCAAAAATCGTGAGAGAAAATGCGAAAAAAACTGGAAGACAGAATATAAAAATAAAAAAAATATTTGATAATTAAATATTCTCTTTCGAAATAATATAATTCAAATTCCAATAGATTTGAGATTTATACAATTACTCCCAAAATATTCCAAATCAAATAAAGCTAGCAAAAAATAGAAACAAGACCGGTATTCTAAATATTTAAACATTTTTATTTATTTTTTACTCAGGTTTAAGTTTTTTTTGTAGGTACTTTTACATAAGGTTGAGAATTTATCTCTGTTTTTTTCATATAAATTATGTTAAAGCACATTTTATTTGTTGTTTTTCTTTACCTAGGTCTAAGAATTTTTGTTTGTTTTTAATTCTTAAAATACCTATTACAATTTAATGTTATATATATATATGTTATATATATAATTATATTTTTAATTTTGCGTACGGTCCTCAAAACTGACTCCTAACCTAACCTCTCTTCCCCCCCCCCCCCAAAAAAAACATGAGGGCGACAGCCACTGCTGCCCCGGGCGGCACTTTTTCTAGTTACGCCGCTGGTCAAAAGCAAAAAGTTTTAAGATTTGCCAGTGAAGGTAAGGTTATATAAATATTATTGTAATGGTTGTATAAAATATTATTTTAATATAATTAATATTGTTTATGTCAGGTTAAGAAAAATGGACAATCTTTTAGCTAATTCCCTTAATTTTAGATGTTAATTTTGCGCATTGTGAATGATCGTTTTGTGTTAATTATAAGTAGGGATGGGATATTTAGGTACTAAAAACTGAAAAATAGGTAACTAAAAAGGTACTAAAAAAAAGCATTTTAGGTTAAAAAACAGCATTTTAGGTAAAAAAAAACATTAAAAGTTCACGTTTCGTTTATAATTTTGTTTAGCCGCATACCCAAATACAGAACATACCCACAATAAAGTATTTCTATGCAATAAACTGTGTTTCACTGAGTGACACTCACTACACAGAAGTTCTATGACAGAACATAAGCTCACTATAAAGAAGGTAACTGTAAAGAAAGTTACTGTTACAGTCTGTGACCATAAGAAAAAATTTTATACCGTTGAGTAACTCAACTTGAGTTGCACGCCCTGGATAAAATATTGGGACAAAATTTAAAAAGAACACAAAAAAATAAAATTAGTAAAAATACGTAATAATAGATAACAAATAGGTAAAAATAAACTGACAAATTAAAAAATATGTAACAAAAGTATAAAAAGGTAGTTTAAAGCAAAAACTTCCAAAAAAGGTAAAAAAGGTGAAAACAAGTTAAAAAAAATAGGTAACAAAAGTATCAAAAAGGTAGTTTAAAGCAAAAACCTCCAAAAAAGGTAAAAAAGGTGAAAACAAGTTAGGTTCATATAAAAGAAAATCTTTTAAAACACATTTTGGCATTATTGGTTTTCAAATAGTTACATCGGTTGAAAAAAGGTAAAATAACTAAAATCCCATCCCTAATTATAAGTATAATTGAAACCACTAATTTTTTCCACTAATTACGAGGTTCTGAATGAGGCTTTACGGTTGCTAGGCCTTAATAAAAAGCGATTTAGATAAAAAAGTATAGTATAGTATTTATTGAGTTGGGTTTAAAATATAATGTTTAATTCATGGACGTATTAACTCTAATTTATGAACTGTTTAATCAATAATTTAAATCTTTTTATTTTAATTTAACAAAATAAGTATGTATGTATTTTCTAGTTGATTCTTCTATTTGTGGCATTTTGATTACTGGCAACCCTAGATATAGCTGTTGTAAAACTGCCTTTAAACAATAAAAAAGTTTTCTAAAATGCTCAAACGTTATTGCTGTTTTAACTGCATTTAAACAACTTAAAAATGTCTTAAAATTAATTTTTTTAGACGACTATTATATTTTTTCATATAAGGTTGTCATTATTTTGGCTAATCAGCTTATCAGCAGTGTAGCTTTTTAACTTTCATATTGTCATTGTTAAAGCTTGTTATCATAGTATTAGACATGGGCGCCGCTACATAGGGGCAGGGGGGGGGCCCGGCCCCCCCCCTGGAAATTCATACCCAGAAATTCCGGTACTCCATAATTTGACGGTAAGTGCTGATCGTTATCATTTCTTCATTATATTTTAATTTATCATAATTTGTATAGCGTATACATAAGATGGCTGTACTACTAGAGGAGATTCCTCGGCGATACAATTTATTTTTATATTTATATATTTACCAAAAAACTGTGATGTATTTTTTGCAATATGTACCAATATAAATAAATAGGTAAATATACATATAAAGATGATATTTTATTTGACTTAAGTTTAATGTGAACTTCTACAGTACAACTTGATTATAAATAACATCTATCAAAATTGTAAAAAACTTTAAGGGCCCCCCCCCCTAGACGAATTCCTTCCGGCGCCCATGGTATTAGATTGTATTTTAACTTGTATCGTCATTTTATATTATAATTATTTTAACTGTTGATCATCGTAGCTTGTCATTATTTTATAATTTTTTACCTACTTTTAATCTTAAAACAGGGTTGTTTCTTGTTATCTATAAAACAGAAAAGAAATATTCCGATCAGCTACCAAAAAAAGCAGCTAAAGGGTTCTAAGCTGTACGATTTGGAAGCTTCTAGGAAAACTTAACGAAGCGTTTGGGAAAATTTAGGTCAACTGGCATGCGCACGCCGTCATTCTAATAACTGGTTAATTTTCCGCTTCCCAATACCTACACAATCTTACAGAGTGCAAAACCTTTTTAACCGCATGCCGACGAGCGAAAAATCATCACGTACAAAAACAATAACACATACTATTTTGGGCGTGTTGAAAATTTCTGTGTTTTGTCGAAGGAAATCGATGGATTTTCTGCTCACGCGCAATTATTGCAATAACAAACATTTTATAAATAATATTCAGTTTGGAACACAGACAGTCTGGTTTGGAAGTTTATATGACTGAGTAACTGCACCGGTTAGTTGTGCTTCAAAAAGTGCTTTTTGATCTTCCCTAACATTAAAAGTGTTAATCATTAATATGGCAGGGCATTCTTTCCTAGGAACCTGGGAGGTAACATAAAACATCACCCTAAAAATAAAAAATACAACTGACATGTTTTAGGTTTCAAACTGCGGTTTCTACGCTAAAGAACGTAGCATTGACAGGTAAACAACCCCATAAAAAATACAAAAACTAAACATGTTTTCCAGGATTTTATTCCAATTTAACCTCGATGAAAATGGAGGTGTTACGTGGTATTATCCGGACGAACTCAGCAATGTAACTCTTTTTAATTGTGACACATACGAAATATACACTACAGCTAATATGGAGGTATATATTAGATTTGCCCTAGTGGCTGGTCAAGTTTTGGAATTTAGAGTAAGTAAATTTTGTTTTGATTAGGTTTGTACGACGTTTTATTGATTTTAAAACATACTTGTTGCGCATTATGAGTCAACAGTACTACAATATAAAATATTATGTATATCAACATTCCTATTAAAGTCATTGTTATCATGAGTAATTAATAGTTTTGTAATAGGAAGTTACGATATATATATTTTATAACAATGATAAAATTATATATTATTTTTTAGTCTGATCAGTTGGAGCCAAAAGAGAAAGTTGTCCTTACTTGTAAGGGCTTATGCATCTTAAAATGTAGGAAGATTCCAGAGGGTGAATACAGGCCTACAAATAAGTTCACTTTCTTAACGGCCCTAGAGGAGGGTTTCTTCTCTGATTTAAAGATTGTGGCAAGTAATAAAAAAGAGGTACATATTATGTTTAAATACATGTTATAATTATAATTATACACTATGTCTCTACTTAAAATGGTCAACTTAAAAGATGTTGTAGATCTTATTAAGTACCGCTGTCGCTGTTGCTTATATAAGGCGCTTGGCAGCGTGTTTTAGCTGTGCTTACACACCTCTGCTATCCGGCACTGATGTGGTCTAATATAGGCTGTTTGTCTGTGCCTATTTGTGTAGCACGCTCGAAACAAAAGCACGGTGACGAGATAAATGGCCAGGTCTTACAACCACTCCTTAAGTGGGAAACCATTTTTAAAGATTTGCCCTATCCTTTTATTTTATAGTATATTATGTATCAAGTTTTATAGACGCCATTTCAGTTACGAGTTTAATTCAGCACGAGTAAAGCTTGCGAGCTAGTGTTTAATAAAAACGAGTGTTTATTTTATATTTTTTAAAGATTTTGTCACATCATATTTAGGTTAGGTTCGACTGACATTATGACATGTTAGCTTAATTTTTGTACAGAGTTTTTGGATAATTTCTTTTGAACTAGAACTAATATGATGCATGTCTATACAGGTTGTAAAACTGTATGATATAAGCACCCTCAGGAATTTTAGAAAATTGTTAAAAAAATCTAAAAAGATACAGGGAAATTCTCTAAGGGGATACATATTTTTTTAATGGCAACATTGCGTCCTAATAAATTGGTAGATTAATTTTTAATCATCATTACAACAAACAACAATATTAAAAAGTGTTGAATTCGTCACTTTTACTTTTATTTATTTAACGTTAGACTTGACACAAGCAACTACTGGGAGTTATTATCATGAACTAATAAAACCATAGATTAAATCTATGAAAAAAACTAAATAAATGGGTGATTCTACAAAAGTTCGGCATCTTTTGACCTAATTTTGTTTATATAGTTTTCGGAGAAAATTAAATAGTATTTTGTTATGAGAACATAGATAATATAATAATGTTCCAGACCGGGCCAGTCACTTTTTCAAACAGTTTCTGAAATATCTGTGTTTTCTAAATTTGAATGCAAGGGAAGTGACGAGTATATCAGGGTTCTAATTAAATACCTAAAAATATAAGATTTATTGCAACTTTTAAATATATTTAAATCAAATAATACCACACATCAGTGGCGGCTGGTGGATTTTTGGTATACCGATACCGATATGGGAACCACACCAAATTTATATGAGTTTATAATGAAAAAAAATAAACAAGTTTTGCGCAAGCAGAATTTAAATTGAAATTTGCGAAAAAAAGATAACCGAAACATCAAACATGGAACTGACGACACGGTACTGATGAATGGGATACAAATTTGAGATTATAATTCGGAATTAAGTATTTTACTGATATTTTTTATTAGTGGATGCTACTTGTCAACAAATCACATATAGCCTTATATAAATTACAATGAAATATATACCTATACGTAAGAAAATAACTACTCACCACAGTACTGAAATTTTGACTGGAACTATACGTGCATTCACTACAACTTCGCCGCTTGCATTGTTTTTTAGATGGCTCTGTAGGTAATTTTTTACCAACACTTGAGTTAAAACGAGGACTTGACGTTTAAACTTCAATATTTCGCAGGAATTTTGAATTTTAACACAGAACTGACGGGTAAAAGTGAGTACAAAGATTATCATTTTTTTAAAATTGCTATTATTCGAATCTATGATAAAATATGAAAAATACATTATTTAATGTTTTATAGTTTCTAGTGAAATTGAAAAGTTTAAGATAAATTGAATATTTTTTAAAATAAAATCACTCAAATATTTGATTCAGGAGTTGTAACACGCCAAGGTACTGATGTTTTGAATATTTATTATGTTTTTCTACAAACGTGCTTTTGAAAAAATACATTTAAATTGGGTGGACAAGTTAAAAAAACCTGGATCTTTTGTAATATACTAAAATATTTACACTCTATTGACTGATGACATCAAGTTGTCCAACTTTTTTAGAATCACCCAAATATTAACATTAAAAAGTAAAAATCCCAAAATGCATTTTTATATGGGATGAAACAATAATTTCTAATGAAACATTCTGTGCATTACAACTAATCTATATAATATGACTTAAAAAAATATAATTAAGGTACCTAAACTTATTATTTTTAAGTTTAAAAACGCAATGTTTACGCTTTCATATCTTTTTAAATAATAAATACAATTTTCTGGGATTTCGGGGGGTCTATAACGCTTATAAGTGACGTGATATGAAAATTATTATAAGCGTGAAAAAATATTTATGATCAGTCTTATAACTCCCTCGAATGTTTAATAAAATCTGTTTAAAAATGTATATCTACTCCCACATTGATAGCTGTGACTTTATGGCATTTTAGTCATACGCTGAAGTAGTAACAATGGATTTCTGTCTTTTTAGTCAGGGGCTGAAATTAATTTTTATTATAAATTTGTAAAAAGTTTGGTTAAATTCGTCTGACAGTTGTCAGATGTTTTACAAATAAAATTGGATTTGAATTTCTTTATGTTCGTCGTAGATAAATTATATTATGCAACTCGTATATAAACTTTTCTAGAAACTCGTTTTTATTTAAATTAAAATTTGTGACTAAAATGCCGTTTATTAAACTTAATATATAAAGTTCTATTAATGTATATTATGCAACAAGTTTTATAGACGAAATTTTAGTCACGAGTTTTAGTTTAGGAACAAGCAAAGGTTGCGTAGCGAGTGTTTGATAAACGACTATCTAAAAAAGTTTATAGAACGAATTGCACATTATACTTGTTCTAAATCGGAAACAATTTATTTACTCCTTTGTACAATATTGTTTTTTTCCGTGAATAATGATAAATATTATAAATTCCCTGCCTAACAACGGGAATAATGAACTCACGTTGTTAGGCATAAGTCGACGGTGGACTAGTGGTTAGTGCTGCTGACTACAAGCTGAAGGTCGTGGGTTCGAATCCCACCAGGGGTATGGCTGTTTATTTGTGTTTGTCCTATTGTGTAATAGTCCTTCGGAGGGGACTTTAAGCCCGCGGACCGTTCCTACCCCTAACACGCTCAAGCCATTCAGTTGGCTTCTGGGACTTCTTAGGAAGTAAGGGTGGAAATAAAAGAGCACTTTAAAAAGTGATTGGTCGATTTCAATATTCACTGTGATTTGAACCAATCGGGTTTTAAATTGGGTGAAGGCAACTTTGAGCTTGGCACAAAAAGTCTCACACGTTTCAACCTTATGACATAAACAACTATTTTACAAGAAGGGCACCTTACTTAAAAGACAAAATTTAATAGATTGTATGATAATTGACAAGTGATAACTAACTTTATCTTCATCCCGTGACTAAAACATAGACAAGGTTAAGTGGGTAAAACAAAAATAACTGTCTTAACATATCCTTTGAAACAGAGTGAAACAACCAAAGATTGATTGTTTTTGTTTTCCAGTTCCATGCCCATTCGACCATACTCCGCTTGCATTGTAAGGATATTAACTGGCTATCAGACCCTCCACCTTTCGACAATCTTCCTGAGGACGTGTTGAGAATAATTCTGCATTTCATATACAGCGAAGCGCTACCGGAAAACATAACAGAAGATTTGGCAGCCCAAGTAATCACACAGGTCGCCACTTACGACTCTCTAGCAAGGCTTAACGAAATGTGTCAGATTTATTTGGATAATATGCAGTTTAAAGACAGTAATACGATGGTTAGTTTGTGTTATAATGAGTTAATATTGCTTTAATTTGTTTACAGAGATATTACAGTTGATTACTGATATGCATACTTCTTTGAATCAAATTATAGATTACTTTAAACCTAAAAGTTCATCAGAAACTATAGCAAATAACCCCTCGCAGTTTTGTTATGCTATAAAACAATCAATCAGGGATGTAGCTGTTGGTTTGTATACAGTATAATATTCATATCTATCAACCAAATAATTATTTTTTTCTTTTAAGTTGGTATAAACCTTCTACTAATATGCGATTTATTCCAAAAAACTAAAGGAAAGCTACCAAAAAGCGAGCGCGTAGATATTATTAAGTACGCTAAAGCCAGGCTTCCTCATTTTTTCGTACAGCTAACTAAATTGGTTGATGTTTTAAAAACGACATTTTTATCAATGACACCTGCACAACAAGCTGATATAGCCATATATTTAGCACCACAAGTAACATCATCAAAATATTGAAAGCAATATAACTATGTTTGCGATTTTAGATAGGTTTAATTTTGGATAAGTTATCCGAACTAATAAGTCAGCTAGAGTTGGCTTTACAACAAGTTATTATAAACCATATTAAACTATCATTAGTAAGGGGTAGAAGGTGTAGAAATATATTAGATATTGATGAAATAAGCAAGTTAAGGACATTTCAAGAACATGTCTACTGCAGCTCTGTGTTACTAGATAGAAAAAGGTATTTGTTTTAAATGATGTAAGCTTAAAATTTATATATTTTGTTGTATTTATATTTCAGAAATAGTTTCTTTGACATGTCAGCAGAAGAAAAACTAGGATCCATTGGTAGAGATTTGGAATTACTTATAGATGAACTACCAATATGTTTAATGCGTTTAGATGAAGATAAAGCTGCTTTCGACGAGAAATTAAATTGGAAAGAATTTTATTTTTGTTTCGTTGTTGGAACTAGTAAAATCGTTAGTCTTTTCAACCTTATCAATAAACTTACTAACCTAATATTTTAGACATCCATTCTCCAAAAGATTGTGACTCAATCTGATTCATTCCAAATGGTTCTACATCAGTTCTGCGATGTTGTAAAACGTGATGCTTTTAACCAGGCCTTAAAAGATATGCAGCTGTTTGATGATAATTTTGATTTGACCAAAAGTATGCAGTTATCTTATAGAGAGTTGCAAATGTTGCGCGAAGAATACGAAGATATTTCGGAGATGTTGAAGGGGATGAGGCTTTTGGATGGGAGATATTTATGCTCTCAGAAGTTTGCTGATTATGACTTTACGGTATTTCGTTTAAAAAATACTTAAACAATATTTATTAACAATATTAATTTAGGATCCTATAAGAAACCAAAAACTATATGGCCATGAAGTGCTAGAGGTAACTTTTAGAGTACTAAATAAATATTTGTATTGCACATGCTATTTTTAGTTTGATTACAAACAAAATCTGTACACAGCACCTCCATCCAAGGATGGAAATCTAACAAAACTAACAGAAAAAAGTCTTGATGGAGCAAATTCAGATATGGAATTCGTTTTAACTTATAATGACGATGAAATTATTTTTAAAGCCCATAGAGTAATTGTTGCATCCAGATGTGATTGGTTTCGGCGTGCTCTAACATCTGGAATGAAGGAGGATATAGACAAGTACACGCATTAACTCTGCAAAACTAACTTACTAAAAAAATTTTACAGGAGAATTTTTGTACATGATTCAAACCCGACGATTTTTAAGATGTTTCTAAAGTATTTGTATATGGATAAAATCAATTTCAGTAGTTTAAATAGCGATCAAAGAATCGACGTCTTGGTACTTGCTGATAGATACGAAGTCGATTCCTTAAAACAAACTACTGAATATATATTACAAAGCAGTATTGAATTGGATGTTGTTTTGTCGATGACGCGCCTGGCTGATCAGTTTAATGCTAAGATTTTAAAGGTATTGTATGGAAGTTAAAATGTTCAAAATTCTTTATTACATTATTTTAGAGTGCATGCTTCTATAAAATTCTGCAACATCCAAGTTTGGTTGAGGTGGATGAATTTTTGGAACTTCCATTGTCGTTGCAAGTGGAAGTATTTGATTGTATTTTAAATCCATGTGGCAAACCAAAATACATTGAAATAGCAGATGATGTAAGTGTAAAAAATGTTTTAACGGTGTGGCACGATCTAAACAATTTTTTTAGGATGATGCTACCCCAGAGCCGCATTTGCATTGCGAGAAAACGAAACTGGAACTATGTTTAAAACAAATACGTGACATTGTAGGGGATGTTACACCAAGAGAGGGATTGGTTCGAATTATCTTGGCCGCTGATTACGACCTTTGTCGGGCAGTTAATTATTTTTATGCACGAAATTAGATTAACATATGTTACTAAAGTCTGTTTTAATGAGGGTGGTTCAGAGAAAATTGAGATACAGTGATACGAAAAGACTAAAAAGGACTAAAATTTAATTAATTAATAAAGTTAATACAATTCGTTAATTTAACTCCTAAATATTAATATAATATTTTTACCTAATATTTTCTTTTAAAATAAGGTATTATTGATGTGATAATTCATACGTGTTTAGGAAGAAAGGATTTTATTCCTTTTTATTGTGATTATTATGTAATTAATATTAATGTTATAACTTGTATTTTTTCCGCTATTAATTATAAAGTTTATAAACTTCAACAAAACTTTTATGTTTTTTTAAACCCTATATTTGTGGTTAATTTACTAAAGATGATATTTTTCAGCACTATGAGCGCCATCTATTAGATTTCAGTAGAAGTATCATTTCAGGATAGTCAATTTCATTACCTAAAAATAGTTATATTAGTGACATCTTTCAGAAGAAAGTTGTATTGCACCTATATGCTAATATACTTATGGATTCAAACTTTAGACTTTATTTATGTCAGAAAATTATAAAAAAATATTATTTTAAATAGAAAATATTGTTGACTTAAAAGTCTTGGCAATTTTCGGCTTTGCAAAATTTGAGGTGTTACAGCATAGCCTACTATTTTTGACGTCAACACTAAGTAATGGGAAATAAAGAGATAAAACCCAATGTACTTACCTATTTGTTTTAAAATATAAAATCTAGATTTGTAAATAAAAATACAGTTGCAGTGCTTAACACAACAATTAATGTATCAAAAAGTACAAAGTTTCTGGGAGTTCACATTGATGAAAATTTAAACTGGAAGTTCCAGTCTGGAACGTACAATGTACATTGTCGTACATGTTGAACAACTTTGCAAAAAACTTTATAAAACATATTACTCCTTTAGAGTAATTCGATCATATGTGAAATTTCTAACTTTAAAAACATTGTATTTTGCAAATATTCAATCCTTGTTAAGATTTGGTATCATTTTCTGGGGCCAAAGTACTAATGTGGGAGATATTTTCGTAATACAAAAAAAGTTTTGCGCACAGGACAGATCGACTCTTGTAGAGATATTTTTAAAATAAACAAAATTTTAACCATTTATGGTTAAATTTATTTCACGATCTTAAATCTTTAAGCACAAGACATAAGTATTATTATTACCCTTATCATAGGATATCAATATATGAAAAGGGCTGTTTTTATGCAAGTGTAAAAATATTTAATAGTTTACCAACTATTTTTGATATCTGAAGCCATACTCCTTTCAGAATTTGTTTTTACATTGAATGAATTTTTTGATTTTTTCCTTTTTTGTATATACAAGGTGTCCCTAAACTTATTGGCATAAATTTAGAAAAATATTGAGCAAGTCAAAATAAATATTTTTCCTAATTACTTATGTTTCCAAGATACAGGGTGATAAAGTGTTACCTATCATATCAGTTTTTTTAATATAACTTCTACTATGGTAGTCTTGGAAACGTTTTATTTTGCGAACAGTCACTTAGTACCAAAACACATATTCACATATAATTACAATTGTTTGAGTGAATACAGTGTCGTAGAAACGGGGGATGCTTTAAGCTTATTGTCCCATACAAACTTTAAGGTTAGGTTTTTATAACATTTGATACAATTTTTCGATTACACAGTTCGTCTACCATTAAAAAGGTGTACCTCTCAAACTTCAATAAAATAAACCCTTTCCGAGATATTCGATATTACAATAATTGTTATATCGCATTATTTAAAAGGATTAAAAGGTATATGATAACAAACTTTATTTTTTAATTGAAAAAACTAAAAACGGCATTCCTTGAGCCTCGAGACTTTTTGCCCTGTCCGTCACATTAAAAAAAAATGGAGTTTTTTCAATTAACATTTTTTTATCATATACGTTTTAGTCCTTTATTGCGATATAACAATTATTGTAATCTCGAATATCTCGGAAACGGTTTATTTTATCGAAGTTGGAGAGGTACACCTTTTTAATAATAGCCAAACTAAGTAATCGAAAAATTGCATCAAATGGTATAAAAACCTAACCTCAAAGTTTGTATGGGACAATAAGCTTAAGCAACCCCTGTTTCTACGACACTGCGTTCACTCGAACAATTGTAATTATGTGTGAATATGTGTCTTGGTAGTAAGTGACTGTTCGCAAAATATCACCTTTCCAAGTCTACCATAGTGGAAGTTATATTAAAAAAACTGATATGATAAGTAACACTTTATCACCCTGTATCTTTTAAACATACCTAATTGGGAAAAATATTTATTTAGATTTTCGTCTTATTTTGACTTGCTTAATCTGCTCCTACATTTATGCCACTAAGTTTAGGGACACCTTGTATAATTGTAGGTTCTCTTGTAATTTAATGTGCAAATTTTTGAAAATAAACGATATTATTATTATTATTATTATTATTATTAATATCAAGTCACGTTATAAATATTTTTGGGAAAATTTTATTTGTTTATTAAAAATGTGCTATTGAACATTTCTGTATCGCAAATTTTAATTTAATCGCATCAGTAGCGGCGATTTTATCCTGATTAAAAATGTGTAAAACTAAACTAAAAAAGTAGTTAACTTTATTGTTAATGAATACTTTTTAGGATTTATATTAAATTTTTGCATCCTAATAATGAGGCGCCTTTCAGGACATAATTAATTTTTCTGATATATATATTTTATTTGCAAATATTTATATAACTTGTATGCATTTATAAAATTTTTCCATATATATTTATATATAATTTTTATAAAATATTTTAATTTTTTTTTATATATAGAAGTTTTTATTAATATTCAAAAATTTCTATACCCCAAAAAATTTCTATACCTCAAAAAGCGTTTGGCAAACTTTGTGATAAAAACAGCTTTCATATTACGCCGCTAGATGGCAGCGATGAAAGCCTTTTTGAGCAACTATTATTTGTACGTTTTTCAACTAGGGCTGATACACAATTGCCCGAAGCAGCGTTCACAATCAAACGGGAATAAACAGGGATTTTAGCGTTTATTCTTATTCTATGATCTATAGTGATTTTTTGAATGCATATTTTGTAAACATAATGTTACCTGGGATTAAAATAAATTAAAATCAATTAAAACTATTAATTTTTCATCAAAATAACCATAAGTTTGAATAGTTTGCACATTATACACTATACACTATTATAGTGTATAATGTGCAAATTTGCAAAGTATTCAAACTTATACAGGGTTTCCCATAATTAGCGTGCAATACTTTAACGGCAGATTCTAGCGTTTATTCTTATTCTATGATCTATAGTGATTTTTTGAATGCATATTTTGTAAACATAATGTTACCTGGGATTAAAATAAATTAAAATCAATTAAAACTATTAATTTTTCATCAAAATAACCATAAGTTTGAATAGTTTGCACATTATATACTATACACTATTATAGTGTATAATGTGCAAATTTGCAAAGTATTCAAACTTATACAGGGTTTCCCATAATTAGCGTGCAATACTTTAACGGCAGATTCTACGCGCAGAATCTGCAGATTCTACGCGTAGAATCGGCATGCCGTTAAAGTATTGCACGCTAATTATGGGACACGCGTACAAAAATAATATAAACATAGGTCGAGAAATGCTTTATAAGGGAGTTTCAGCCCCCGAAAGAGGAGCCTCTGAAGATGCTGGTTTTTATTTAATATCTCTAAAACCGTTCAAGATAGAAAAGTGAAATTTTAGGATTTTATTATTATGACCAATAAGATGTAATAATAACAATTTCAAAATTTTTATGAGCGGTAGTCAGATAGATAGAGGATAGGGGTTAAAACCACCCCAACTTTTTTGTACGTGTCTTGTGCCAGGATTTGATATCAGACTATAAAATTTTGGGGTTTTACAAATAAAAAAGGTCATCTTGTTGAACTTTCATATCATGCACCGTTTTCGCTTAAAATCGAAAAATTACCTTACATGGCATAAAAATTTATAATGAAACTAGGCAATTGTGTATCAGCCCTAGTTGCCAAACGTACAGATAATAGTTGCTCAAAGCGGCTTCCAGCGCTGCCATTTTTTTATTTTAATATTTAAACCGGTATAAAACCGCCGCTACTGATCAAATTAAATCAAAATTTGCATAAAATCAAGATTAATTTAAATCTCAATAAAATCGCCGCCCCTTAAACCCTTATAAGATCGCCGCCAATAAGCCAATTCAATTAAAATTTGTATGGGATCAAGATTAATTCCACAAAAATATGGTGTTTCAATTTTATAACGATATATTTATTCTTTATTTGAATGAATTCTTGTCAGTTTTTTGTAATTTCAGTTCACCGTGCTTTCGAGCGGTTACAGCTGCGCTATTTATCATTGCCCAAAGGGCGAGCACAAAAAAATAACAAGGTTTTTGAATATTAAGCGTTCAGATTTTCCAGTACTTAAAATTTACAAATTCAGTGTGTGGAACGGGGCAAAATCTACATCTGTTTATTAAAAAAATAATATAAAATAGCAACAATGATGAATTGCACAATAATTAGAAAGTTGTTGCTCATTGCATTCATTTCTCCAAAATTCAGTATTTTTTTATTAATAGTGTTTGTTTGAAGGTTGTAGACAATGATGTATATTGAATGACGGAAAGGTTTTGGTATTCTATTGATTTACTATTTTACTTACCACATTTTGGTTAGTATCCCCAGTCGTCCTAAGGTTAGTACTAAATAAGTCAAGTACTGCTTCCTTGAACTTCCTCTTTCTCCAGTGTTTTTCTTTGTGCAACATTTTTGCTTCTAAACACCTGTTATGGTTTCTTGATTCTTATGTCGAATGGTCAGTGTCTCGCCGATATAGGACTGGTCACATTTACAGGGAATCCAGTAGATGCAATTCTTTCTGTCTTTCTGGTTTGTTGGTTTTGTTTTTGCAGGTTGGCTCCTTAACGTGTCTTACAGTGTTGATTGTGCCGATTGTCCTTTGACGTATCAAATCTTTGTCTTTTCTACATGGGTTTAGCCGATTCCTCAGACTTTCTAGTATTTAGCTCAAGAGACAATAAGGAGCCAACTTATGAAAGCAAAACCATAAATTCAAGGAGAACTCCATCTACCGGATTTCCTGTGAATGTGCTCAGCAAACATATAAGTTTGATTATGTAATGGCCATTTACATAGTTTTATAGATTATTAATTTTTAGCCTTTACAGTAATTTTTTATTAAAAATATTAATTTTGATAAAAGGCTGTCTTGATAAGGTCTTTCAA